GAACACTTAACTTGTTCCTCTCCTATTCTTGCGCATCTGTGCACTTCCTGTGGTCTCAGAGCTTCCAGTGGCTTCGAGGCCATCATCTGTCAAGTGGGGATAATGATATCTTTTCACCAAAAAGGATGAAAAACTGTTAAGGGTATAACAAGAGATTAGTAATTACAGGAAGGCTAAGAATTAGAACATCGCTTCTAAAATAAGCATTGGTTGGTGCGGAGCGCCATCTAGTGTCCACTGGATAAACAGCAAGAGGTAAACACCTTTGTACTTAAGATTTATGCCAAATCGTATTCTAAAAACTATATATTGTCATTAATTCTCACAACACAGGAACTATTGTGACACTTAATAGACGAGAAAACCGAGGCATAGAGTAATTAACTTGCCCAACGTGATATAGCTGGTAAACGAAAGTGGAATTTGAACCCAGATATTACAGCTTAATCTTAGCCAGTTCCTTCGATACTCTAATCCGTCTTAGTAGTTTTACTGGGCTATTTAATAACTAAGAGGAAATTATAAGTACTACCACTAGAAAACATGAAAAGGATAAGAATCTTGTATCCATTGAAGCACAACAACAAAGTCTTCAGCAAACAAACTAACATAATGATAATGTGGTCCCAGCAGTTCTGTCGAACTTAGGCGGGGCCAGGCAAGCTCAGCGGTCAAAGGGGCAGGGGACGGAGCACCTCGTCCCCCTCTGTGCTGACAGCCTCAGCCGCTGGACAGCGAGAGCACGCGCGCACCTGGGATGCAGGAGCCGGGGCTGGGTGACCACGCAGGTGTCGCCATGGTGTTTACCACAGAGGACGGGGCAAGGAGGGAACCCAGGGACGTGGGGTTGATCCCGAGTGATAGCGATGGTCTTGCATTCCGTGCCCACCGACCATGCCCAACACACACCCCTTCCTGGCCGGCAGACTTCGTCCTCTCTCTGTCTGTCTTCACTTCATCCTCTTCCTGTGGAACTTGCTTGGAACGGTCCCTAGGTCCCGTGACACTTCAGGGATGGCCTTGGGAAGTGCGCGTCACTGGAAAGAGTGAACCAACTTGTTGGGCTTGGGCTTGGGCTTGGTCTTCTCTCACCCACCCCTGCAACTTCAGAAGAATGCCAGCCTTCTCAGGGCGGGACGCGGAACGGGAGGGCCCAGGGACAGGGCTCTAGTGGGAGCAAACCTCAGGCAGGACTCGGCGGGCTCAGCCCGTTTTCTGGAGCTACCCGCAGGCGACTTCATGTAATCCTCGGTTATTCCTGGGGGGAGCGTTACCCCCTTTAGCAGAGGGGGAGTGAAGCGGGGCAGGGTCGCCAGCGCCTCGGAGCGGAGGCGCTGGTGTGGCACAGGCGCGTGCTGCCGCCCAGGCCGCGCTCTTTTTCCTCTTTTCCGCCCGGTCTGCACAACGGTGCTCTCCGCCCACAGACAAGCCCGTGCAGCGGCTGCCATTAGGCACCGCATCCCTCGGCGACCAGGGGAAAAGGTTTTAATTATTCCCCGTTGGGGCCTGTAACGAGCTCTATTAATATCAGGTTAGCTACCTGCAAAGGCAGACGGGGCGGCAGGACGAAGGGAAGGAAAACCCGGCACTTTCCTCCCACGCTTGTCTGGGCGCTGGGGCCGTGCAGGTCTCGCCGCCAACCCAGCTGGGCACCGCCTCCTGGAGCGGCCGCTCTGCCCTGCGCATTTCGCCTGCCTCCTCCAACTCTCCAAAACCCTTAATAACGTATCAGTTTTCTATAAGTGAAAGTCCCATTTTTACATGCTCCGGGCCTAGAGAAGTCAACAGGAAGGAAAGTGAGCCTTGGCTGAAGCAGTGCTGTCTGATGGGACAGCTGTCGGCCACGTTTGGCCACGGAGCCCCGGTCACGTGGCCTGTCGGAACCGGGATGTCCTATGGCTGTGAAGCGCACAGCACTTTGAAGACTCACCATTTGAAAAAGAAGGAACATAAATGATCTCATTTTTTAAGATCTCGGTTACATGTTGAACTAAAAATAGTTTCAATGTAAATATTAAGTTAAATAAAATATATTATTAAAATGAAGTTTACCTCTTTCTGTTTACTCTTTATTTCAATGTGATACTAGAAAACTGCAAATGACTTCTGTGACTTCCATTCCGTGGTACTGCACGGAGTTGCCTAGCGCGTCCGAGGAGCCAAAAGTGAACTCGGACAGCGTCTCACACAGCGTGAAAGGATGCAAGGAACTGCTTCTGCCTTGTCTCTCAGTTTTAGATAACTTTTCCCACACAAGTTACAGGATCTGGAGAAAGGTTACTTGTTTGTCTTTTACAACCATGCGGCCAGAAGGTTGGGAGCAAGGCTCCAGGTGGCTGGTCTCCTACGGACGGGATCTACGCTTCAGATCTGCACGCAGGGAGGGGCTTCGAGCTGAGGGTCACATCAGAGGACCGAATCACAGGACTCACTTTCACACGCTGCTGATTTACAAACCAGGTCTCCAGTTTCTAGTGCAGGGAGGTCCAGGAACCTGGCAACCGAGACCCCACACCGCAATGCATCGGGTGTTCTGCGCGCTGAGCTGAGTTTCCCGTGAGAAGTGGCTCACGGCACACAGAGTGGCACAGGAGCGGCACGCTTTTATGTCATCTTTCTGCCAAAATATGGTAGGATGTTCAAGGTGCTTTTGTTGTCTGTACAGTTTCAATAACTTGTTACAATTCTTAGAGCCAAAGGCACAGGGATGGATGGCAGGTCTAGTGTTTTTTACGGCTGCTAACTCACCCATTAGTAGAGTCATTAGGCTGTTTGCCGAGAACACGATCAGCGGTCGACAGTTCCAATGTTGAACGGATGTTATGCAGGGGAACCATGGGTTGTCCTTGGTCTAAAAGAGACGCCTCGTTGTTTACTCATCACTGAACGTACCTGTATAAACCCTTTTGTAACCTAATACAATGGGTTCACTGCTGGGAGCGTCTGAGCCAAAGGCGCACACGTCTTGCTGGATGAAAGATTTTTATTTTTAATTGCGGCAAGTGAAGGAGGCACAGGAGTAATTGTGAAAGCTCTGTCTCCCAGAAGAAAGGCTTAGCCACGGCCTAAACGCGCTATTTGGTTAAACATGTTGGCGTAGGTAGCTAGATATTAATGAAGGAAGGGAGAAAAGAGAATCGGGCATCAAGCCGATGAGATGGGAAGCTGAACCCGACCTGAGGCCTGCTTCACAAAGAAGCCGGGGCTTCACACGCTCCCCAGGGCGCCCTCTGCCCCGGGACCCAATCCCCTAACGCAGCAGGAAGGACCCCGACCCGGGAGCAGTACCACAGCAGGAGAACGTGCTCTGCTGGGCACATGCCCAGCGGAAGGCTCCACGGGCAACGACCGTTCGGGGCGATTTCTTCCTTGCAGGCAGCTAAACGTACCGGGTTTGGTTAATGACACTCGACTTCTTGGCAGTGGGCTGAGCGTGGTCAAGTTCACAAGGTTGCAGCTGTGTCTGCAAAATACCGCTGTACATTTTAAAACTGAAAAAGAACTGCATTTTAGTAAGAGCCGCCCCTCCCTTGAGACCCTCACCCTCACACTTTTCACTGCCAGTCTAGGCCCGGCACCTTTACCACATATTTCCATGTAGACATGTGCTCGTTAAACGGGAATTTCTGGTGCATTGCAATATTTCCTGTGTCCTAAATGTGACATAAGTTTATATTAAATACACGAGCAGAACGTTTTCTCAGCCTTTTCTTTCAAGAATAAGTTGCAATTGCTTTGAACCAAAGGGCAAAGCATGAAGTAACAAAACCTGAAGTGGCAAAGCAAATTTCACAACAGTACGCAGAAGGCCAGCTTTAGGAGGGCTGAGACGTTAATTCATGGATAAAAGACATGGTGGTATAATTTATATGTTCTAGTATTTTTCCTGTATCTGTTAAAAACTTCACCATCCATTTTTATTCCTGTTTGCAATCTACAGCTCATCTTATAAGTCAATGTATCTCTTATTAAAAACATGCTTATTTCCATCTGGGCCTTTGTGTTCCCACTTTGAGGGTGTCCTTGTATATCAAGACGTGTTAGATGGTGTCACTGGAAGAAACCTAGAAGGTTCACATGCCAAAATTCATCTCTTAATTGCAGCATGCAAAAATAAGTAATTGCTTGTTTTCTTTGAAAACAGATCTACTCGCCTGTCGCTGCTGAGTGTATTGGGGGTACTCTGCAGGCTTCGTGGGTCTTCCTTCCCCCCTTAGTACCCCCATTCTTCAGGGCCAGACCCCCTGCTTGTACAGCCCAGAGGGGAACCTGAGAGCTTTAAAAACAGCCCACTTTCTCGCCTTGGGAAAGTGCAAAGTGTGCCCCGCCCCCATCTATGAAAAGAGGGGCTGATAAAGAGCTTCAATGTCTTCAAACCAGATTTAAGTCTCTCACCTGCCACCACCCAGGACTCCTCCGAAACTTGTGAGCCCCCTTCCATCCCTCCCTAACTTCTCCGGGCTGGTCCAGAACCTTGTCCCGGTCCCCAGTTCCTGCGGGTCTGTACGCGGAATTCACAGAGGACCTGTGTTACTTCCCTTGCGAAGAAACAGAATTACCGTGAAAATGTAAGTAGAAAGCACTTCGTTTTTGCCCACAAAAGAAGGTAAACATGTGCCCAACCACCCCTGAGAAAAAGAACTTTCGGGGGCAAAGGAGCGAACAGGTAATTTAGAAGAAAAACAGAAAGTGGTCTCCGACCGCCCTGGACTTCCCTCGGAGTTGGGGGATTTGCAGGCGCCTGGACGCGGTGTCCTTGCAGTTACGGAAAAAATACATGCAGAGCACGAATCCTGAGGCTTCTGGGATTCTTCCCCGGCCAAAACTGGGTGGTTTGGTGCGGGGCATTTTAATATTTCCCCCCTTTTGTGAAGTGGAACAAACACAACTTGGGCGCACCGCGGCGACTCGGAGCCTGCCAGCCAGGAGGGCGGCGGGAGCACCAATCAGCGCGCGCCTGCGCTCTATATATACAGCGGCGGCCCGCGCCGCTCCATCGGCGCTTCGCCACTTGTTTCCAAGTTCCTGATCGCCAGCATGTCGGAGACCGCTCCTGCCGCCCCTGCCGCCGCGCCCCCTGCGGAGAAGGCCCCTGTGAAAAAGAAGGCGGCCAAGAAGTCCGTAGGGGTCCGCCGTAAGGCGTCCGGGCCGCCGGTGTCCGAGCTCATCACCAAGGCCGTGGCCGCCTCCAAGGAGCGCAGCGGCGTGTCGCTGGCCGCTCTCAAGAAGGCGCTGGCGGCCGCGGGCTACGACGTGGAGAAGAACAACAGCCGCATCAAGCTGGGCCTCAAGAGCCTGGTGAGCAAGGGCACCCTGGTGCAGACCAAGGGCACCGGCGCCTCCGGCTCGTTCAAGCTCAACAAGAAGGCGGCCTCCGGCGAGGCCAAGCCCAAGGCCAAGAAGGCGGGCGCGGGCAAGCCTAAGAAGTCTGCTGGGGCCGCCAAGAAGCCCAAGAAGGCGGCGGGGTCAGCCACCCCCAAGAAGAGCGCCAAGAAGACCCCAAAGAAGGCGAAGAAGCCTGCGGCGGCTGCAGGGGCCAAAAAAGTAGCCAAGAGTCCAAAGAAAAAGGCTGCCAAGCCCAAGAAGGTCGCCAAGAGCGCACCCAAGGCTGTTAAGCCCAAGGCCGCCAAACCCAAGGTTGCCAAGCCCAAGAAGGCTGCACCCAAGAAGAAGTAGGTCACATTCTGCTTCTAAAACCCAAAAAGGCTCTTTTCAGAGCCACCACTTAACCTCCGGAAGAGCTGTGCACTCCTGCCCTACTTCCTTCGTTTCTTCCCTTAATTTTACTCTTAAGTTGTTTGAGGTTGGTGCCCACTTCCCCGGAAGACGGCGTTGGGACGGGCACTGCTGTGAGGAGGACCCTCCGGGCCCTTTTCGGCAGCTTTCCCGGCGCTGGCGCGGCGCGGCAGCTTGCGGAAGCGTCCGCGGCGGCCCCACCCCAGACCTGGGGATGGGAAAACTGCCGTTCCCAGCCAGCTGCTCGGGCCAGGAAGTTAAAAGTCCCGCCTGCTCGTGGGTTGGCGCGTTCCTGGAAGCCGTTCTCTTCATTGTGGATTTAATTGGGCAGCAGCCCGTTCTGAGGGTTTTTTTCCTATTGGGCTGGGCTTGCTCTTTCCGCTAGATGTAGAAATACATCTGGCATCGGAGCACTTAACTTGCTCTGGATCGTGTTCCTGGGGGCGTTGGTGGCGTTCTGCCCTTGGAAGAGGGGGGACGGACTCGTTTTCGTGTGCTCTAATTCGCGTCTGTTTAGCCGCAAAAACGCGCATTTGAGCAAAGACTGCCGCGCCGGGGTTCGGCTGCGCAGGGGGGTTTGCCCCTCGTACCCTGTAACTTGGGACATAGGTGTGACAGACCTGAGCGCATCAAAAACAACTTCTCGTCGCCATCTTGTCCTGGCCGGCTGCTCCCCGTACTGTGTTCCTTTAAATCCACCCGGGGAGAGTTTGTTGACTTTACAGAGAGGAGGGGCGGGGCGGGGCGGGGAGGAACCTCGATGGGTAGCCTCCCGTTTGCGCCCTTATAGGGGATCGAACCCGCAATCTTTTAACAGGACTGCGCTCTAACAGCCACCCGGCCGCGACCCGTCCTCCTCTTAGGCATCTGAAAGCTGACGCTTTAGAGGCAACTTCTTGTGTGTGCGCGCGCAACCCAAATGTGTGTACACGATTGAGGACAACGGGTAAACTCTTGGGTGTGTCTTCGAGTGGCGGTGAGGCCAATAAGAGCTTTAGCGTCATTGACATTGAAAGATTGGGGGAATCTTTCGTATTGACAGCGTTTCTCCCGGAGGAAGTCCAGCGGCCTGTGTTTATTATGGCGAATACAGACTTTCTCGAGACAAGTTCCAGAAGCGGGCTCCCGAGGGCCTGCAGCTCCGCTCTTCAGGGCCATAGGAGTTAATCTCCGCACCAGTTTGTGCTGCTGACCCCTGAGTTCATCCGGCCGGCCCCGCCCCGCCCCGCCCCGCCCCACCGGACTGACAGATGTCAATCTTCGTTGTCTTTGTAAGAACTAAGGAAAAGACTTCCCCCGAGCCCTCTGTATTTTAGTGCCCAGTTAGGGAAGTGAATAATATATGGATAATTTTTGTTATATGACTCTGTGCATGTCATAAAACATTTTAGATATGTGTATATGTAGGTAAATTTTCCCCCGAGGCCATTTACTTCCTTTTCCAATTCTGCCTTCCCTTCCCTGCCCACCGACCTCCACCGGAGAGGCCTTTACCTCAGGCTAGACTTCAGGGATAGGTGGACTAATTCTTAGTTTTCTGCTTTGTTCTTTGATCTTCTTGGCCATTCCTAAGGTTCGAGAGCACACTTTTTTAATGTGTTTTTGTTTCCTAAATTTTATATGTATATATAAAAAATTGTTTTTCAAATTTTATATATATGTCACTGTGAAGTACTGTGTGTACCGCTTATATAAACTTTACTGCTTTTATAAACACTTCACTGTTGTGAATATCTGTGTATTATTGTTTTTCAGTACTGTTCACAGCTCTCTTCAATGCTGAGAATTATAACCCACCCAGTAGATACTGCAAATAACAATGGAATGTTAAATAAACTGAGGTGTTCTACTGTGACTTTAATAGTTAAACAACCGATTTACTCTCATTACTCATTTCCAAAATTCTCTGGTTATTTTTTGTTGGGTTACTTGCTTTGCTTTTCCATATGAAGTTTGGGATGTTCCCCACACAGCCACTCAGAAACAGTCAACGCCCTATTGATAGTCTTATTCGCATTGTTGTTTTTATAAATTAAACTCAGGAGATGAGTTTTAGTACTCAAGAACATTTTATATTTTCCATTGTTCAAATATTTTCTACTTTTCTCCAAATATCTCTCTTCCCATGTCTTATCATCATCATTTCCAGCTACTTTACCCTCTTTGTTGCTGTCGTACACGGCACCCTGATATTCTGGATTCCTGGAGGGCCCGTGGAGGGCACTTGGAACACGACCATTAACTGAAGGAACCTGTACGCGAGCTAATTAATCTCTAAGCAGGTCTGTTCATAGCTACATAGCGAAGGAGCAAAGAATCAGATGAAATCAATTTTAAACTGTAATGTGTTAAACCCAATGTGTCAAAAATACCATTAAGATCACCCTGTGAGATTAATTTCCATAGAACCGCCTTTTCATCCGTAGTCGATCCGTTTTCCCATTAAAAATTAATATTCACTATCCACTTTTGTGTTTGTAGTTTAGTGCTGTAGTTTTTTAAGAGTCACCAAGTTGTATAAGCTTTAGGCCTCAGAATGTCTTGATCTCTGTATTATCTTTTTTATATTTGGAATCTTAAAGAAAGTACACTTAACTTGATGTTTTTGTACGTATTAACAGGGGGCATGGGTAAAAGAGGGAAGTTCTACAGCCGTGGATGGAAAATGGGCGCTGTAAGGAATCACGGGCTCCTATGCAAGCACGTCAGAGCGGGTCAGTCACGCCCAGGCAGAGTTTTCAATGAAGGCTTAACTTGTAACCCAGCAAAGAGTTTGGCCACCTGGTGCTGCAGAGGGTCAGTTAATGCAGACACCGTGGTGCGTGGAAAGAACCAGGAACCAGCGGAAACTGGCAGCTTGCCCCGAAGACGCGCCCAACTCCCCACAGTGTAGGGACAAGGGTCTTAGAGAACACAATTCCTGAGTCATCATGAGGAAGAGGTTTGGGGCCATGGGTCTTGGTGACTGGGTAGGGGTGACATAAGAGCACTAAATCGTTACTTCGGGTCCTGAGGTCTGGTTTCGTGTGGAACTGGCCAGGAGGGTCCTGCAGCACTGGGCTCACGAACTGAGACACGGCGTAGGACATGCTGCTCTCTTCCGCTAACAGAACCCCACACGCCGTGGCCCTTAGGGCCTGGGTATCTTTCCTGGCCGCCTGAGTTGCGGGGAAGGGCCAAGGTTTAGGGAGCATGCTGGGAAGAAACTGAACAGAGGTCTGGAGCTACATATTAAACCAAAATTACACATTAAATAAAAACCCTCAGTTTCACTTGGTCACTTTGTAGCTGAAAAGTAGTTACTAGGTTATCTTCAGGAGCATGGTGACAACTACGCTTGTGAATTTCACACATTGTTATTATTATTCCTAATGTCTTTATCACACCCTCTCCCCTAAAGTCTAGCAGGCAATTTGTTTCATGGTTAAGCAGGCTTCCTTCTTGTGGCTGTTGATCCAAGAATGCACACATACATGTATGTAAAATTAAAGATTCTCTGGGCGGTTTTAACTCCCAGGCTTCACCTTACACAAGCGTTGTCCATGCCTTCTGTACACCTAGGTTAACACACTTTTCAAATCCCTCTTCAGACCTCCCCTTCCAACTAGTCACCATGCATAATCTCAACTATTCAGATCCCTGTTTTGCTTTCTTCCATCTCCTTGTAATATTCCCTATTTTCAAATGCGTAAAAGAAATTGCAAACCTGCCCTCCAGGTCATGTGACATCTTGTTCCCTGGCACATGTTGGCAGTTTTGGCAGCGAATAAAAATTATCTACAGGTTTGGAAATTTCTTACGCTGACACATTCAGCACCTTAAATTCTATTGAATTTTGAATTGTTTTATTTTCCCTGCTACATAAATTCACTGGACCTCCTGTTGAATGGTGAGACCAGGTTCTATCACCTGCGCTGCAGTCCTCTTCTAGGTAGACCGCCATTAAACTACGGAGTCAGAAGTGTTTTCGACTGAGAATTGTCTAAAAACTACAGCTGTTTAAGATTTAGCTGCAGGTTGTTACATTAACAGAAGGAGCAGCACGTGGTTAGGAGCCTCTAGGTAGGCATACACACAAAAGTAGCGCATAATTAAACAAAGCAAAGACACTATCGGATATTCCTTTCTTTCCGACAAAATTTCAAGAGACAATTCCTTGAATTGAAATCCTGCTAGAGAAAGCCAACTTTGGCCTTTTTTTGGGTAGTGCATAAATACCATAATAAATCAGAACGCAATTATGTTAAAAAATTGCATACTTGTAGCACCTCTACTTTCAAGAAACTTACTTTTAACGTGCAATATTCTAAATAACAAACTTATTAAAACTGTCTACAGTTGTCCTCTAATTCTAAGAAACTGAGTGGCACAACTCTTTATGTGAGATTGGGTGGCTCTGAAAAGAGCCTTTGGATGGAAATGGCCACTCGCCGAGGGCAGCTCACGCCCGCTCCCCGCGGATGCGGCGCGCCAGCTGGATGTCCTTGGGCATGATGGTGACGCGCTTGGCGTGGATGGCGCACAGGTTGGTGTCCTCGAACAGGCCCACCAGGTACGCCTCGCACGCCTCCTGCAGCGCCATGACGGCCGAGCTCTGAAAGCGCAGGTCCGTCTTGAAGTCCTGCGCGATCTCGCGCACCAGCCGCTGGAACGGCAGCTTGCGGATCAGCAGCTCGGTCGACTTCTGGTAGCGCCGGATCTCGCGCAGCGCCACCGTGCCGGGCCGGTAGCGGTGCGGCTTCTTCACGCCGCCCGTGGCCGGCGCGCTCTTGCGGGCCGCCTTGGTGGCCAGCTGCTTGCGCGGCGCCTTGCCGCCCGTCGACTTGCGCGCCGTCTGCTTGGTGCGAGCCATCCCCACCTCAACGGAGCACTCGGCCGGGGCAACAGGCCGAGCGCGCCCCCTCGCCCGCTATATATAAGGCGAGCCCCGCCCTGATTGGGCCACGCACCTGCCCGTCACGGTGCGCGGTGACGGCATCGGAAGCGGCGGCCATTTCCTCTGCGCGGGAACCTCCGGGGCCCGCACGCCGGAAACGAACTCCTCCCTCGCCCCCTCGCCCCCGCGGCTCGTTCCCTCCCCCTTCTCGCCCCTCCCGTCTGCATGCCTTTTCTTTGCAATGTTCTTTGACTTCTCTCCAGAGAATGTCACGTACGTGTCGCCGTGATATGTTTGCCCGGTGCGACTGTTAAGCTTCTGGCCCCGACCCTGGGCTTTCCTTGGGCTGTTTTGAAAAGCCGCGCGCCAGACGGGATTGGTCAGGGGACGACGCGGGGCAACCCCGCGACAGGGGGCGAGAGGGGCGTTTCACGGCCCCGCCGGCCACGCGCTCGGTTTGCCTCTAGACGCTCGCCTTTGACGGAGCGGAGCGCTGCCCTCCCAGTCACGGTTTCCTGGCGGGTGACCCTGAGGCTCTCAGCCGTACGACTCACTGAACTAGCGGCCAGCCCGGGGGCGGGGGCGGGGTCTGGACCCGACCTCCTCCGCCACTACGTTCACGCCCCCAGGGGCGCTCACGCCCGGACGCCCAGCGGCAGGTGGGCAGTGGCGGCGAGGGCCCTACCCGAGCAGCCGCCGCCACGCGAAGGGAGAGGCAAGCCCTTTTGGTGAGAACGGGGGTGGCTCTGAAAAGAGCCTTTGGTTACGGTCGGGCGAGGTCCCACTGCTGCGGCTTACTTGCCCTTGGCCTTGTGGTGGCTCTCGGTCTTCTTGGGCAGCAGCACGGCCTGGATGTTGGGCAGGACGCCGCCCTGCGCGATGGTCACCTTGCCCAGCAGCTTGTTGAGCTCCTCGTCGTTGCGGATGGCCAGCTGCAGGTGGCGCGGGATGATGCGCGTCTTCTTGTTGTCGCGGGCCGCGTTGCCCGCCAGCTCCAGGATCTCGGCCGTCAGGTACTCCAGCACGGCCGCCAGGTACACGGGCGCGCCGGCCCCGACGCGCTCGGCGTAGTTGCCCTTGCGCAGCAGGCGGTGCACGCGCCCCACCGGGAACTGGAGGCCGGCCCGCGACGAGCGCGTCTTGGCCTTGGCGCGCGCCTTGCCGCCCTGCTTCCCGCGTCCAGACATGGTTCTTAAAAGTGGAAATGCCTTCCGGAAAAAAGCGAACTGAGTGAAAAAGGAGAGCCAGACAAATATTTATACTAACTGGAGGTTGGCATATACAATTTGTTAATGACCAATGGGAACTTAGAGGCGGTCTTTCTAATTTACATATTTGGCGAGGTCGTTGTGGGCTTTTTTTTTTTGGAGTTGTGTTTTTTCCCGTTCCAGTCTAATTCAGTCTGTTGGACCTTTACTTTCAGACTCATAATGGAATCGGTTTGGTTTTCTCTGAATACTATTGTTACACGCAATGCAGCAGTAATGAGCTCTTTCACTTTCCTGACATTTGGTTACTAGTACTTTTCCGGGAATGTGACTCATGATTGTAGAAAAATACTTTAAGGACAATTTCTAAGTAGATCACATATAAGAGGTACTTCTATGCCAGGCGTCCCTTTAGCTTTTTTAGACGTCAGAAAGTAGCGAGAAAGGAAGAGTAATCCTTGTTGTCTCTCAAGTCTCCTTAAACTATTTCAACAATGAAACCGGAGAGGAGGACCGGGGTGATCCTCTGCCTGACCTCGGACAGCATGTCTCCACCTCATTCATTTTTTTATTTACGAGGCTTTCAGGGATCTCCTTGAAGGTATGTAGCCTGAGTGATGTCATTTTAGAGGTTGTGGAAGTGAGGGACCCAGCCTGGTTATTTGCTGTGCCAAAGGAAACCCCGAGTTACCGACACCAAGGACGCTGAGCTCCTGGCCGGAAAGGCCTCTGCCATCATCCCCGGGGGTCCCACCCCTCACCCTCCAGTCCCACGTGGGCACCGCACAGAGGATGCAGCTTATTTCAGGTAGCGCCGTCGTGCCCCATATCCTGTTGCACCTCTATGGTTAGAGGGCTAAAAACACTGAAATTAATGGTCCTTGTCAAAAATCACCTAGTCTGTAATATTTTGGTTACAGTGGCCTGAATATACCAAGAAATAGTTTTGGGTTTTTGTTTTTTTTTTTAATGTGAAGGTTAAGTAGTATCAGCAATTCCCTACTTCTCTACAATGAAATGCAGTAACGAAAATAATTATTAGGACTTTTCTTTATTCATCTGAAAGGAAGACAAAAAGGATGGCCTCACTTACACCACTTTTGTGTATCTGTATGTACAGCCTTCCACAAGGAAAATTTCCGGAAAATCGGTGGCTGAAAATCACCCAGTGAAAAGTCTTGGGTGATGGGATTAAAGTTAAATTCTTTAAAATTACTTGTAGTGGGTATTTTTTTTTCAGATTTTATTTTTATGGAGGGGAAGGGAGGGAGGAAGAGAGGGAGAGAAACATGGATGTAAGAGAGATACATACATAGGTTGACTCTGGCACGCCCACAGCTGGGGACCTGGACAGCAACCCAGGCCTGTGCTGTGACTGGGAATCAAACCAGT